GCAGCGGGAGGCTGCAGCAGGGACTCCCATGGGCAGACCCACACCACCGCTTTCTTCCCCACATCCGAACCGGAGAGTTGAATCAGTCCCTTGATGGGCTCTGTACAGCTCAGGTGCCCGTCAGAGACCCGTCGGGCAGCACTGTCCTCATCCCAAATTCTGAGCTAAAGAGCTTTCCAGAAACCATCCAGGTTTAGATGAAGCAGGGATGGAGCAGGGGACTGCGGCATCCCCTCCTCTACCAGTACCTATGAATACGGCGAGGCTCCCTGCAGTGTGTTTCATCCCTGAAATTCAGCACTCAAAACCAGGAGGGAGCAAGACATCCTTAAGAGTTGTTTACGAAGGCTTCAGCAGAGCTAACTCTTTAATACAGCCTTCAACAGGGGGAGAAAAAGCGATAACAAACATTAGAAGAAGCATTCAGGAAGCAAAGAGGAAAAGAAATGGCGTCTCCGTTTCCAAAGAAAGCAGCCTGCCAACCCCTCCAGCCCCAGCTCGTCTCAAATTGTCAGCAAAATATTCCAGAAGCGTTTAACTTTCCTACACAGTGCTTCCAGAGGCCCGTTACCGTTACAAGGAGCAAAGCGCAGACAGGACTCCGCAGACTTGGCCAAACGACTGACTGAGCCCCGAGCAAGAGCAGAGCCCATGGCTCAGCCCCAGGCAGTGCCAGCCCTGGGAGGTGCCAGCCCCACTCCGACAGAGCGGAAACGCAGGCACAGAGCAGAGCCCTGGTCCAAAGCCCTACCCTGCATCTAGAGAAGGTGCAGAGAAACCCTGTAAGCTCTGGCAACACCAAACCATCCCCTCACTTAAAGCTTCTCTCCTTGGGAAACAATTAATCACTGCGGGGTTTTGGGGGGATTTTTGGGATGGGGAGGGTTTAAAGCACAACTCGATCCACAGGGATGCAGAGGGTCAGAGAAGTCCTTAACTGACCAAAGTCAAAATGAGCTGATGTCCTGCCAGTTGGTGGGACTCCAGCAAAGTGGCTGGGGCTGGCCCCAGCTCAGGGGCAGGCAGATCTCACTCCATGGCTATCTTCTTCCAACCGGAGAAGAGGTCCCTGCGCCCCGCCCGGAGGAGAGGGGGCAGAGCAGGTGCTAGGTCCCGCAGCAGCCAGGGAGACAGCAAGTCAGGGCTCATCTCCATCCCACAGCTCCAGTTCACCAGCCCAGGCCTCAGCCAGTGCTAAACTGTAAACGTTTCTGTATATTTCTGGATGTAAACAAGCGTTCGACCTTGATACTTCAGTGTCTCACGCTGGGAGAGGTCGAAATCGTATTGAATCGTCTTTGGAGGGTGAGAGCTGGCTTGCAAAGCCCGTTAACCTTCAAGCGTTCTCTTAAAAGCTAACTCCCCAAATCCTCTTCTTTAAAATAACACAACCTAATTATGCCATTCATCACTTTTTTGTCTTCCCTTTTCCCCATGCAACTCCATAACCTACAGCCAAAGCCATGTTTCACTGTGCTGAGTTTTGATAATACAGCGCTATTCTCATCTCCAGCAAGTTTTACTGTAATTACAGAGATGTGTTGCAGACATTACACACTCTACAATTAGCGCTAATTGCATTACATTGTCACAAAGAAGTCATTTACTCTCCATGAGCTCATGAGATTGGTCTGGACAGTTTAACGGAGCTGAGAAGTACTTAACGACACGCCACGAAAGCGGCCGGCAGCGCAGCAGGCACGAGCACACCACCCAGCAACACTACTGGCCCTCCTAATTCTAGTATAAGAAATAATAAAGAAGAAGAAATAAAGAACACACAGGGTGACTTTAGCAGGCTCCAGCCCTCGGCTGTGCTGCTGATGTTTCCAACCTTACCAGAGCTGGTCCCACCTTGCCCAATGTCCCATCACTGCAGCCCCTAACATTGCTCAGACACTTCAAGAGGCAACTTTGAGCCCTCTCAAAGGAGAGAGACAGAGGCTGGTGCAGCTGGAAAGCACAAGCTTGTTGCCTCCTGCAGAAGACGAGTTTACAGGGACAGTTACAGCTCTTGGCCTTTCTGCTGTCCATCTCTTCCTCCAGCCTGGGTCTTGAGTCTCACTATGTCTTTCAGCCTCTGCAGCACCCCATGGCAATGAGTTTCCCAGGCCAAGGATGCGCTGGGACACTTGGCACATCCTTACTGGTTGTATTGGTCCACTGTTTTGGTTCTCCCAGCTGCCTGGCAGAGGTGTGTGCCATCACCCTATGGGGCTGGCAACAGACCGTAAGCAAAGTCCACCAAGATGTTACCCCTTCTCAGGGCACACCGAACCTATGCCAAGTAAATAGCCCAGCTGGGAGGGTCCCCTGCTCCTTTCCAGGAAAATTCAGTAAATTTGATCTCTAGCTCTATCAAAAGAGGAAAAAAACACTGTTTTCCCAAAGGTCTTTGGGCTCTTGGAGTGGAGAGGGGAGGCAAGAGCTGGCGAGCGATTCGTGTGTCAAAGCAACTCAGCTCACTGGCCAGGGGCCAGGGACTTTTCATGTGGATTTCCAGCCTCTGCCAGGAGACTCTCGGGTGCTGGAAGAGCCTTTAATTCAAACCAGGTGCCTTTGAAAGGAAAACACTCAAAAAGGCGAACTTGGTCGCTTTCTCTCAAAAAAAAAAAAAATAATGAGGGCAGTCACGCACATTTCACTGAACTCTCCTCCCTGGCACACTGCTCCGTGCTCCCAACCGCCCGATGGAAACCAAAACCACCAGCGGGGCTGGAGGGAGAAGAGCCGAGCCCCGTGCCCAGCAAGGAGCCCCAGGACACTGACTGGCCAAAATCCGACACAAACAGCTTTTATCACCCTGCCCTGCTCGATGAGTCGAGCACCAGCTCTCCCGCGAGCTACAGAGAGAACCCACCACAGAGTCAGGATGCACAACGCTGACGGTGCTGATGGCCAGCAAGCCCCCAGACTTCACTGCTCCCCCAAATCCAACGCTTGCCAAGCGGTGCTGCAAATGACAGAGAAGCGCGGGGAGAGGGGGAACCGCTGCGCCAGGCTTACCCTGCGATGACGATGAAGAAGTCCAGGCGGTTCCACGTGTCTCCCAAGTAGCATTTCTTCCCAAAAATCCCCAGTGCGATCATCTTGACGATCATTTCCACAGCAAAGAAGGCAAAGATGAAATCATCGAAGCTCTGCAAAAGAAAGGAAGGGAGGAGGGATGCTCTGGCATCGCCATGGGCTCGCACTGGCGGAGGAAATGAGAGACCTGATTCCACCAAGGTCTCCTCTTGCACCACTGAGAGCTAAAATGCCCGAGCAGAGGCAGAGCTGGGAGCAGCCCCATGCCTTCCCCCAACCCAGACTGGTCAACAGCACCCACAGCACTGGGATAAAGGGAAGAATATATTTTGGGCTCTGTTTTCACTATAAAACCAATGCTTAAACCTCCCCGAGCACTCCAAGAAATGCTTGGCTACACTGGGGCCAGCACAGCCCGGCACGGGCTTTGCCTGATGACACCGCGCATCTGAGCACCAAAATCAGCATTTTCCATGTGCTGGCTGGGTCCTTCCCGCTGCCCATCAACCCGGGGCCGCCATTAAGCCAAAAGCAGCATCCGGGCTGTACCTGGAGGATCCTGCAGCGCGGCGAGTCGCAGGCGATGTCCTCGCAGGGGTGGAACATGCCCAGCGTGACACAGTTGAGCAGGATGACCAGCATGCTCACCCTCTCGAACCACCTGCACGGCACCCGTCAAGGAAGCAACAGACCCAGACCAGTGCTCACGAGCGGCTGCCGCCAAATCAGAAAGGTTTTTCTGTGATTCGAGGCAAGGTACATGCCAGCTTCCCAGGGTCAGGCTTTGCCCGGAGAGCCCACCGGCTGCCCGGACATCCACACAGCAGCCCCACGGTGCATCCGCCCTGCCCTGCCATCAGCGGCTGCAGCAAATGTGACAATCGCTACTGAATGGAAGTTGCATGGCAAGAGCACCAAGTGCTGACGTTATGGATTAAAAAATAAAATTAAGAGAACGATACCGACTTTTAGACAAAAGAAAAACCTGCACTGTTGATTTCCCTCTCCTGAGATTTCATGGAAAAGCACTTTAACAACATTACAATTTTCTACTAACCGTGTTGCGGCTTATCCCAGAGGTGTTTCCCTGAAGTCGCTGCTTGGACTTTTCATTCCCAGTCCAAATTAAGACTGTCCAAACCATTAACCAACCGCCTAAAAGACTGGGAGGGCCAGCAGAGCCCATCCCCTCCCAACTGCTGCCTCGTGGAGCAACTTTAGCGAGCTGAGCTGCCAGGGCAGACTCTGGATGCAGTTACTTTTGGAGCAGAACAAGTCATCCTGCTGCTGCAGCAAATCCTCCTAGGGACAGTTCAGACCTGGTGCCTAAATTTCTGCATCCTTCTAGGGGGTATTTCCAGCCAGCTCCCACCTTCCCAGGGAAAGGAAAGTGAAATCCGGGAGACACTGCAATGTGGTGCCAAGGATGTCTTCCAGATATGGGGAAAACACCCCACGGGCTGCAGTGACCCGCAGGCAGCAGCTTCCAGGCTCGAAGGAAAATAACTGTGGCCCTTGTCAGACACAAGTTCTCGCTGCCACGCGGGAGCGGGTGGTGTTTGGGAGCCCGTGCTGCAGCGTTATCTCGCTGAGGAAGAAGAAGGTGAGGATGAATCAGTAGGTGCCTCCCCAGCAGGCACGCGGGGCTGGAGCTGGCAGCTCCTGCCACCCATCCTGGGTGAATTCCTGGGAAATCACATGGGGCTGAGTCACGGCTCGGTCGTCGGCAATCTGGATCTTTTAATCGGAAGAAATGTTTACAAGATATCGGGATAGACATTCCAACTGTCAGGTCGGGGCTACGGGCTGGAATATTTAGCCCAAATATAGTCCTGCGAGGGCAGGCGCGGTGGGCAGCCGGAGGAGGGGGCAGCACAGTGGGGTATCTGTGCTCCCGGGCTCGGGGGGCGGGGAATATCCCACAGAGCCAGCCACTCCGCGGCTCTGCCAGCAAGGAGCTGCAAAGCCTTTGAGAACATAAAGAATTAGAAAGAATCCCAACAACCCTGTAAAATCCCAAAAGGGTGACAGAAGGACCACATGTCCTGAAGGGCTGTGCGGGATGTTCCGCAGGGAAGCACGGTGGCCAGGGAGCAGCCTGCTCAGCTGGGTCAAAACCTGCAGAGACTCACGGATGTTCCCCAGATCCGCAGAGCTTCATGCAAATTCTTTTGTGGCGGTGGAGAAGACCCTGCACTGGGCCTGGCTCTTCTCCACGGGTCCCAGCTCCGCTGGGAACGGGACCTGGGTGATGCTTTTGCCATGGCGGGCAGCGGCCTGAGGACCGTGAGCTCCCGAGCAAGCAGAGATGGGCACAAACCGCGTGCTTGGAGCCGCTTCCCATCTCATCTCCACCCTCTCCAAGACTCGGAGCAGCCCTAACACCCACCTGGGGCGGCTGAGCAGCCTCAAGCTCATCACAGCCCTGTGTCCAGCACCAAGGGGTGGCTGGAATGGCAGGAACAGCACGGGGTGGCACCTAGGGTCCCGTCCCTGTCCTCCTCCAGCACACCACAGACGGCAAAGCCATGGATGCTTCTCAAT